ACACACACACACACACACACATTCACTATCAACGGGAAGTAGAATGGAATCAATTCGATTTTATCATTCTGATTGCAAAGTAATGGAACAGCAATCATAGCCACATCAGGTTCTTGCTGAGAAGAGCTTCTCAGACTGGGTCTTCATGTTGCTGATTACAGTTCCAAGGAAGGAATCTGTACGATGTGCTCGATTTAACACGGAACGTAGAAATCTCACCGACACACATGCGCAAATGCAGCAAGTGAGTGATGCAAGCGCATTTACAAGCCATGCAATATTTCTGGAAGAGACAATCTGCCTTGAGAGCGATCCAATTCTCTAATAGGAAATGAGATTTATTTGGACTGATACGCATTACTCATCACAGCAGCCATTGGCCAAAACAGCAGAATGATAGAGATGGAAGCTCGATAGTAGTTTGTACATCTCCCATCTCATCACATTTTGTCAGTTTGTTTACAGTTTTGTTGATAGGATATCAATTCTGCCGTTTGCATTAACATAAACCATCTCTCTCTCCCTTTCTTTCTGTCTCTGCATTTCAGATGATCCTTTTTTCAGCGTGCTGCATCTGTGGTCTGATTGGTGGGATCCTCAACTTCCAGTTTGTTCGGGCGCTGAAAGAACGGCACGACTCGCTGCACTTGGCTGCAATGACGCTGGCCTGTCTGGGTAAACAAAGAAAGATAAATGCATGACACGACACAACTGAACGCACTGTTAATGTCCACAACATGTCATATCACTGTAACTATAATGACGGATATTTTTATGTATAGTGTCACTAATCGTGTACGTTTTGGGAAGTATTTTTACAGTACAAACTTAAATTTGGCAGTTTTATGTAATTAAAAAAGATCATCCAGCTTTCAATGAGAAATTGAAAATCAGGTTTGTGCACACTTGGACTATTTTATTACTCACTCACTCTTTTCCCATCTCCATTTACACAACTGGCATAATTCCAGCTCATTAGTACGAGGTACAAGGTAAAGCTGATAGGAATGTCACACATGTCGCAGGTATTTAATCATAAACCAAAGTAGTGGGACATTTCTGATATGGTGATGTTAAGAAAATCATGTTTTATGATGTATCTTGTAGGGGTCACGAATGTCTTCATCAAATTCCAATGTGATAATGTCTTTAGTTGACGTTTCACTAAAAATTACAGCCATCAACCTCATAGTGGAGTGAAAGGAAATATCAGGGAGTTATTAGGATCCATCCTCTGGGGAACATGCCAAGTGAGTGGAAGCTTTAGCACACTGGTGGTACAAAAGAAAGACCAGCAAAGTTGGTAGGATTTGCCTCCTGAGAACTGCAGAACATTTCAGAGCAATCTGCCCAGTAGTTGTTGCAGTATTCACATTTAAACTAGTCTGCCTCACCAGGTGTAGATTGTTGGTAGAAGCCTGTCAGTGTCCACACATTTCACTCAGCTTCTTTCTCCCCCATTACGTTGACTACGTGTTAGAAGCTACAAGTTGAAAATTTCAAACCAGCCAGATCATTTTTCTCCACAACAGAATGATACTGTGGTGCAGGATGGTCTGATTATGCATAACTCAGTTATGACCAGTACCACTTCCACGGCCCACAGGGCCACAGAAGTATAAAATAGCATGTACAGAACAGCCTACTCTGCCTTTAAATTAAAGAATTCCTCCATTGTTTCTCCAGCATGTTTCCCTCTTCCTGTCTTGTCCAGGGATCTCGTCCTGCACCTTATCCACGTGGCTGACCTGCCGCCTGGCCAGCTCTGAGCAGCAGAGGATGTTCCTGGAGAGGGAGCACTCGCTGCACCATTCACATGAGATGACAGAGAAGGTAGGATGATTGATTTAACGTCAACCAGTGGACAAAGTTTATGTGAAGTCACTGTTTGTGTTTCCAACAGGAGATCCTGGACAACTCCAGTAACGGCATCCCTCAGATCTCCTACAACGGACACACAGCATCGTCACCGTGACGACGTGGCACTGAAACAGAGACACTTACTGCTGTCAGACAGCAGATACAGCTTGAGCTTCACTCCTCTACATATCCTGCAGCATTTAACTGTGTCCTGACCGCAGGGAGTGAACCAGGCGACTCGCCTCGGAACCACTTTTGTCTGCCACTGGAGTCAGACGGACGGCATGAGGAGGCCGTTTGTGCTTCTGAATTATTATGCAAACACGGGTTCAGAGACCCTCTGCTAAACTGAAACCAAAGCCGGGATGGTGAGCTGCCGTTTGGGTGACAAGTCAGGTGACGAAACGTCTCCGTGACGTCAGCCGATCCTGAAGCTAATGAGGACGAAGGATAGATGTTATCCTCACAGATCCCTCAAAGTGATGAGCACAAACCAAGCATGCAGCGGATTCATTTGTTTCGAAGAGCTACTGCTATTTCAGTCTCATTGTCCTTCTTCTCTTTCTCTCTGTCTTGTTATTGGTTAATGGAATGCGGATCCTGAGATAAGCCTACAGTAAACTGTATGTATCATGTGATAATGGAATGCTTTGACATGAAAATACAGTGATGCGCAATATACTGTACTGTATATCCATGCTTGTATATCAGGTATCTATAAATCAGACATATTTTTATAATGCTTCTTATAAAGTGAATTAAAGTATGACTAATCTGACAGATGGACTACCATGGGTTATTTCACACATGTCCCAGAGCTCCCATGTGAGACATATTAATTCACACAAACACCACTAGATGACTTTGGTCCTGTGATAACAAAATATGCAGATCAGGCATGTCACACAAGACTGATGACTTGCTTCAGGATTCAGATGTGAGCACAATATGCAGTGTAGAACGTGTAGGCGTTGCCAGTTATTTTTCAGCTGCTAGCATGGCTAAAGCATTTTAATCAATACAGTAAATGTTTACTTTCCAATAAATGATTGCAGTTAATCTTCCAAACCAAATGTCGAAATCTCACATTGACAGCCCGCAACGCATAACAACCTGTCAACACAATCGATGGTGGAGCAAGATTTAGGAAGTTAGCGCGCTCCTGTGAGACCACAGTTTAACACAATGATGCCTTTGGCTCTGCTCAGGGTTCCCACACTCGTCGTAAAGTGAAGCGATGAAGTAAATCTGTTTTATTGCAACTCTAAAACCTGCAGGTATAAAGTGCTTCTCATAGCAAAAGGGAGAGAAACAGCAATAGTAAAAAAATATATGTAAAATAAACAGTGTAATATTCAGTGACATGCATGCCTATAAACACAGCTGTAACCTCTTATGAACATATGCGACTGCTTCGACAACATCATGCTGCTCAATACCTCATTATGGTGTGTACCTAGCAGTGCTGTGTGTGTGTGTGTGTGCGCATTTATGTGTGTGTTAAGTGGGGCCCACAGCAGCAGAAACCGCTGGGAGCTTCTTGCTGACTAAGATGCTACGTCACTATTTATCACCGTGACAACAGACAGAGCCATGGCGCCCAAGAGAGCACCAGATCTTCAAATCCCGAGTGTGTGTGTGTGTGTGTGTGTGTGTGCGTGTGTGTGATGGAGAGAGAGAGAAATGCTGAATCATGTGACCTCCTGTGGTGCTGCTCTGTCAGAAAACAGTAACACTAGATCGGCCTGTGTGTGTGTGTGTGTGTGTGTCAGGATATTTTTTATGCATGTGTCTGTGTGTTTGTTTGTGTGTGTGTAGGTGTGTGTGTGTGTGTGTGTGTGCGTGCACTAGTTGCACTAATTGACACTTCAGGTCACCCTAATGATCTTAATGTGGCCCTGCAGGTAAGAAGAGGACACAGAATCAATGAGCAGCGTCTCTTTAGCAGACGAGCAGCTTTGCAGCATCCTTGCTCAGCTCGTCTCACAACGAAGGGCGTGTTGGGAAGAAAAATGTATAATTTTCAGAGCTTTCATGCAACAATGAAGCCATGTGTTGCCTCATTTGTCATTCACGCCATCACAAAGGTTGTTTTTTTCTTGGTTTTTTTGGCCTTGTTGCTTATATTTGACAGGACAGTAGAGAGTGAGACAGGACAGTGGGGAGTAGAATGGGGTAAAGACCTGCAGCAAAGGGCCATGGGCTGGATTCGATCTCACAACTGCTGCGTCGGAGACTATAGCCCCTGTACATGGGTCGCCAGCTCAACCAGTTGAGCTATAGCAGCGGCCCATCACAAAGGTTTTTAATTCTTTTTGGGTTTTTTTTCTACAATGTCTTTATTATTATTATTATAGGTTTTTGAAATTTTACAACAGAGCACATATGCAAACACCCACACATTGCACCATTGTAGCTCATTATATACATTTTGATTGATAATTCCTTAGCAAAAAAACAAACAAACAAAAATATGTAAATGAATAAATTAAATTAAATCACTAAAAATCATCAAATAAGTAACGGTTAAGTAAGTAAATAAATGCAGAAATGAAAAATGTCAAATGAGTAAGTAAAGAATTAGAATCTCAATATCAAAATCAAAAAGATAAAATTCAAGTTGATAAAAATATGTAACTAAATACAGTGCCAGACAAACAAATACATTATTTTTTAGCAGGTCTCATGTTCCTCTTCGTCAATGTGGCCATGCATGGTTCCCAGAGTTAATTAAAGTCCTCCCCTTTACCCTTGTTTTTGTCACTTGACATGTTATAGATCTATACCATGTCACAATAAGGTGTAACGCCCTGCTGGACTCTGTTAACTCTGTTTTTTTTCTACTCACTAGGCACAGTATCCTTAATCCTATATATTGTGCAGTCCCATTTTTTGTGTGCTCATCTGATTAAATAGTAGAAATCTGCACCATGTACACACATCACCAGAGAAATAACAGATTAAAATCCTCTGTAATAACAAGCTCTAACTTACAGCCATGTCTTGCCAAGAAAAATTACATTTTACATCACTACAGACCAAACTTGCAGCTTTTCTGGCCTTTTTTTTTAAAACTCTGGGACTCTGGTAAAATTGCTTATGCAACTCATGAATAAAACATTTATCCTCATATATCCTTGCTCACAATGCAAATTTGTGGTAAAGTAAGATCGACTTTATTGCTTTTCTCTTTTTATTATTACTCCACTACATTTCACAGGATTTATAATATTATGATTATGATCAGTTTGCAATAGAGGCGATGAGTTTTAGCATTGTTGTCTTTAAGCGAAAAGGTTTGCATGTTTTCTCCAACAGTCTAAAGACATCCATGCTAGGTTAATCGATTATTCTAATTGTGGCTGTAGGCGTGGCTGTGATTGTGCTTGGTTGTCTGTCTCTTTGTATTGGCCATGTAATGGACTAGCGACCCGTCCAGCGTGTCCCGTTCCTCCCACTCACTGTCAGCTGGAATAGACTTCAACCCCCTGAAACCCTCGTCAGGATAAAGCTGACGGATGGATAGCTTTCTATGCTTACCTTATATTGGAGTTACTTCACAAACCTAGATTTCACTTGCAAATTAGACGCTATGTCAGTAAAAAAAAGTCCCTCGGAATATACCCAGAATGTACGACAGAACATAAATTATTTAGACTAAGAGCCACCTGGACTCCATACTGTTGCCTTTAAATGCAGCTGTGTTACATCAGCAAGCAATGAAACACTGAAATGAGCCATTACAGGTACTGTACATAGAGTAGCATTTGAAAACTATGGCATCTAGAATCACTGAATTATCGTAATTTAAGATTATTAAACCCTATAAGTATTTTGGTGGCATAATCCATGCTTCACAAGCAGGTACATTTTAAAACTATAAATGTTTGATGATGCTTCCAGACATTTCTGTACATTATTTATGGTCCTAAACACACTGGCAAAGCAAAATATATATATATTTATATATGAAGAGTTCATTTGCAAAAACAGATAACTCCATTTTTGTAGATTTTCAAAAAACATTTTGTTGTTGTTGTTGTTTGCTTGAGATGATATCAATCAAACTGAAGCTGAGTGGATCTGACTCATTAAAAATGACATGACAATTAATAGAAAGGCTTAAGTTTGATTGATATTGTCTCAGGTAGACGATGGGAAAGTGGGTTTTCTGAAGATTTGTGAAGATGGAGTTATCTGTTTTTGCAAATTAACTCTTCATATTTAAATATGCAATGGCCTGGATGGGAATCTTCATTTCTTTCCTACCGATTCTGATCCTGTCTGGCCCAGATTGGAATCTTGACACCAACCTGGCCCATCTTGGAATTCGGATCTTGGCCGGCCCAGATTTGACTTGCGGGCCTATTATTATTATTCACATGAGGTGCTGATAAACATGTAAGATTCAACACACAAAAAAATTCTTTTAATTCATTTTATTTACAAATTATGGAATTTCATGCAATAATACAGTATAAGAAAACTGCATCAGTGTTGCTACACAGTGTTAATCTTACAACATACAAATACATGTATGCAGCTATGAGTAAATTAGAACTTTTGCACTTTTTAAAGAATAGGAACTTTAAACTAAACAAACGTTCATCTCGCAAAAGATACCTCTTTTTTTTCTCCATGTCCCTTCCGGGCCTCCGTAGGTCTTCATAAGGTTGCCTTTGTGTATTTTAAACGCACTAAACTAACTTCTGTATTGTGACTGTTTCACCGCTGTGCTGTCATTCCACCTCCTCTCCAGCAGGGGGCGACACACACTCACGTCTTTCATTTTTAACAGCTGTTCAACCCTCCTCGCGGCGGAAAACGCCTCTCGTTGTTCTTCCTGTCCCACCAAACAGCATGGCGAACTTGGAGCATGCTGAAGACGACCCAAAACATGTGAAAATGTCCGGAGAAAGCCCCGCTGCGTGCGACCCGGACCAGCCGACCGACGGGCCTCCCTACCCGGGTAAAGACGTCGTCCCGTCCGCCATCCCTTCGTTCGCCGCGGCCTCGGAGCTGCTGTCAGCGCCGTACTCGTGTCTGGTGAGGAGCACGCACCGGAGACACGTCGTCCTGCCGCCCAAATACCTGAAGAAGAAGCGGACAGGTATCCAGGAGGAGCTGGAGGCAGAGCTGCTCAGGTTCTCTCAGAGGTCCGTAAACAAGAGACGCGCTTCTTTAACTTTCTATCGACTGTCACACTGCAGCAACACAAACACACACAGACGTCAATGTCAACCATTTCTAACATCATGTAAGGTTTTTATTGTGTTTATGTAGGTGTCACTTGTTATTAAAGGATGCTTGTCAGAGTTTAAGTGCATAAAACAGCAGATTAGATCCATTATCGGACAAGCAGGAAAAAGTCTACCGGTCACGTGTCTCCGTGTGACGGAGCAAAAACAAACTTCATCTTGTTGTATTTAAGAAAGTTTTCAGGTCTGTTAATAAGATCCTGACATGTATTATGTTTTTAGTGAGTAACAAATTATTGGTCAATATTCTGTATATGCAATGAAGCTGCACTATATTGCAATGTTTACTTTTTCTGGGATATAAAGTGCAATATCAAAAACAAGTACAATAATGTTAACTAGATGACTTGAATAACTACTTGAAGAGAATGAATGCTTACAGAATCTTTGGGTATGTGTAAAGGAATGCATCTGCATTTAAAAAATGTTAAAAATAGTAATAAAAAAAAGGTGGTTTTGGTTGGTTTGACATTCAGATCTGAATTCACACTTCACCGGTAAATCCGTCGTGTTGCTTTGTGTGGTGGCAAAAACTGCAAGATATCGTGGACAGAGGACCTTGTTTAGGTCAACATCTTTCTCAGTGTAATATTTCCATGCTACTAATGCTGGGTTCATTTTTTTGCAACCAAATCTCCCTTATCAGTGCTTCTCTTGATCATTTTGTTGTACACATGTTGACATGTCTACAACCTGTGTGCTTGGGAATGAACCTTCGTGTTTCCAAGGGCACTTAAATCAAAGATCGTTATATTCTATCAGACAGACCAGGTCACTCATGTAAAGTTTTCGTTTTCCTATCAATCAGTAAAGAAGTTGTAGTTCATTGTGTTTGAGTTAGATTGCCAGACTTCACATTGCACTCACGCAGATTGTGCATAATGTGAACCCCTAACATATAAACACATTTATTTATTTATGCTACATTTATATTTAGAAAGGAAAAAGATGGGATCATTAATTATTAACATTCCGACAACGTTTTTCCACAAGCTAGCTACTAGCCAGCAACTTACTGTTAAGACAGCACTTGACTCTGCACCGCCATCCTCTCAGGTTTTCTGCTGCATGTGCTGCAGACAGTGTTAAGAGTGTTTTAAACAATGAGCCACCAGACGAACTATGTGTTGACACTATTTTTAAATGATCTCAAACATCTTTTTCTCCATTATAGTCAGACTCTACTGCTGGTTAGAAATGGCAGCGCATAGTTTCAGGATAGAGCAGTGGTTCTCAAACTTCGGGTCAGGACCCCCATGGGGGTCCCAAGATCATTTCAGTGGGTCGCCAGATCATTGTAAAAATAAATTAATAAATAAAGCCTGTATTTATCAAATAAATTTGTATTAGGGCTGCAAAAATTAAAGTGTATACGTCTTCCCACTCCTTTTTTGAACTTGTTGATATTATGATTCGATTCGATTGCGATATTATAATTCTTTTTTAATGCTCTTTTTAAAATTATTTTCTTTTGTTTTTATTTTTTTCATTTTTTCAAAATAAATTAATTCATTAATTCAAAAGAAAATTAATGTTAATGTAAGGAGATTAATCTGTGGAATTAGCATATTCATTTTTAAGTTATTTCTCATGATATATTAATAATTCAAATTGGGGGGTCACGAACACAAACTTGTGTTATCTTGGGTGTGGTGGCTCAAAAAGTTTGAGAACCACTGGGTTAGAGGATGACATCGTGACTGCAGAATGTTTTTCAAGAACCCAATTTGACACATTTATAAATGGCTCAACATATGAGGAAGTGGCCAAAATCCAAGAATATTCAGATTACAGTGCTTTTAAAGAAGAGAGAGAGAAAATAACCAAATCTTCACAGTTGGGAACTAGTAGACTTCTGATATTTTTTGTTGGTGAAATATTCTGTGGAAAGATTGCAAGAAATCTTTGTCAGTTAAGTTTCTGCTGATTGGGTGATTATTAAACCATTTTTTAAAGCACAAGACGATTGGATTTCAGCCCTGTGTGTTGCCGTCACTTGTGGTCTGTTTCACCTGGTGTTGATGTGACACAGAAAACTGTATGTTTGCATCAAACAACGTTACGCCACAGTTGCTCACCTCGTTGTATTTGTGTCTTACAGACTGAACGGAGTACTTTTAGCTTACGAGAACATCAGGATAGTGGGCCAGCATGGAGACATTTACGACGACAGCGGCTACATCCACATGGACATAGAAGCAAACTTTATTGTATTTCAGCCCAAAAAAGGACAAAAACTACTGGTGAGATTCACATTTACATGTTTTGGTAGAAGCTCTCATCCAGAGCGGACTTGTTTCTGTGCAATCAGATGTCAGCGAGGTTTGTTCTTCTCAAAATTAAAAATAAACGTAATCCTGGATAAAAGTCATGCAATAATTGGATTTTGCTATTTTCCTTACTCTGTATTGTATTCCCGAGTAAGTATGATTATATTTCGTGCATTTGAGCCACATGTAACCTTTTTCTTGGAAGAACTTGTTCTCTGTGTTGGAAGGATGATTTCTGTGCCAGTAAAGCACAACGCTGACGTCGTGGAATCGACAGAATTACAAACAGCATTTCATTTATTTCCACTGTGTTTCTGTTTTCAGGGGAAGGTGAATAAGCTCGGAATGAGCCACGTGGGCTGCCTGGTGCACGGCTGCTTCAACGCCAGCATTCCCAAACCAAACCTGGTCTCGGTGGAAACCTGGAGGGATGCAGGGCCGAGGATCGGAGCAGAGCTGGAGTTTGAGGTGACTGCACTCGATGCTGACGCTGCAGGAGTGCTGCTGATCAGAGGACGGATGGACAGGACCAGGTAAGGGTGCAGTGGTGGCGTTCTGGGGGGCAAAACTAATCAGGATTTTCTGTATTTAATCATACTGAATAATATCCTTCAACGGCTTAAAAGTGTTATTATCAGAAGGCTTTAAATGGAAATCTATGTTCACTTAAAAGACAATTGCAGTTTATTTCAACCTGTTTTTTTCCCATTAACGTGGCTGTAATTGTGCTCTAATGCAGTTTGCTAAATGTCTGTTCCGGACAGCGAGTTTGATTGATGTATTAAACGTCTATCGTTGGTCGCTGAATGCTTGCTAATTGGTAATCCAAAGGCAGCTTTGGGTTTTTGGATTCTCTGTTCCTTGTTTGTAATCCATAATATCGTTCCTTGCTATGAGAAGTGCTATGAAATGACATATGTTGTGAATTGGTGTCATATAAATTAAATTGAGTTGAATTTAGAAAACTGCTGGAAGTGGATGTGAATTGTCCCGCACTAAAACACAGTTTCTGCAAATCTCTACAACCGAGTGCAAAGTGAGCATGACATTTAGAGCCACAGTGAAAGAAAATATGCCAGGTAGAAATACATCAGCTTCTCCTTTAAGGCAGGGCTGAGCATTAAATTTTAATTTCTGAATCAAAATATGTGCTTCCTCTGCTGTATCTCAGAGAACAGCAGTGCTAGCAGCATTAAAGAAAAGTTCCCTGGAGTCTCGACAGTGATACAGAAAACCCACATTTGTGTGTTGTGTGTATCAAAGACTCTCTCTTTAGTCAATCATCAGAATCATCCTCTCTGTTTTGTATTCAAACTTATGAAAGTTATCATCTGTGACAGCCATAATTCTTAACTGTTGGATCAATTTTCTCTCCTGATTACTTCTGAAGAAAAAATGTCAGGGGAACATGAATTTATTTCACTAGTGGTAGCATTGAACTTCTGCAATTTAAACTAAGCCAAGAGAAACTTGTAGAGATGACCGTCATTGAAAGACTCACCATAAACACTTGCTGACTAACTACACTGAGACCACAAACAACTTATATTGCAGTTTCTCCCAGAAGCCTGTGTTACACTTGTGCTTTCTCCATTCAAAAACAATATCCGATGTTGTGTCATTGTCTAAATACAATTAATTAATCTCCAAATCGAATATTGTGTGATACGCGGGTCAGTGTAGTTTAGCATTGTTGGGAACATAGCGTACCCGAGACCTTTCATAGTCAACATAAACCAAATTCCAACCTACGGGTGGTAATCTCACAGCAAGAAGGTCGCCGGTTCGCGTCCTGGTGAGGACACCCGGGATCTTTCTGCATGGAGTTTGCATATTCTCTCTGTGCAGCGTGGGTTCTCCCCGGGTTCTCCGGCTTTGTCCCACAAGTCCAAAAACATGTTGAGGTTAATTGGGTCTAAATTGTCCGTAGGTGTGAATGTGAGTGTGCTTGGTTGTCTGTCTCTAAGTGTAGCCCTGTGATAGACTGGATACCTGTCCAGGGTGTCTCCTGCCTTCACCCTGAGTCAGCTGGGATAGACTCCAGCCCCCCACGACCCTAGTGAGGATTCAGTGGTGTATAGATGATGGATGGATGGAAGTTGAACTTTACATCAGGCTTTTTTTTTTTTTTCTTTTGCAGTCAAAACAGGTTCTCTAATTTTTAAAAAAAGGCCTTTTCATTGTGTGGTTACACCGTTGCCTGATCACTGCGTTTTTGTGATTGTGTGTCTCAGGGTGCAGGAGCTGCTAGCTATGGGTGAAACCTCCGAATCCGGTGTTCCTGAAGATCAGACAGAACCACAAGACACAGAACCAACCCCAGAACCAACTCAGGATTCTCCTGATGGCACGCCCAAGAAAAAGAAGAAGAAGAAGAAAGTCAAAGAGGAGGAGATGGAAGAAGAGATAACATACATATCGTCAGCGCTCAACGGAACAGATGAGACGAACGGCGATGAAGCCGGTGAGAAAAAGAAGAAGAAAAAGAAAAAGGATAAACGTCTAAAAGAAGAGGAGAACGAGATGGAGCTCTCTCGAGTGGAGGTCCACGGGAGCGACTCCAGCGGTTATGTTAGTGACAAGCCAAGCAAGAAAAGGAGGCATGAAACTGTCAATGAAGACACGTCGGGTTTTAGTGAAGAGCCTGAACCAAAAAAATCCAAGAAGAAGAGGAAAAGTGACATTGAACAGTTTGCCTGAAAAGTTAGCAGTGGACTGACGTTCCATTTGGATGAATTGTGTTAAACAAACGAGGCGACACCGACCGTGTCAATGGCAGCGACGGTTCTACAGGATTATACGAATGTGCCTTCACAAATAAACTCGGTTTAGATTCTTCTGAGCCCCTTTAAATCCATTTAAACAGAAGATCAAACGTGCAGGAGAGTAGAAAAACCAGAGGATGGGAGTTGACAGGCTGTTTCTCTTTTTTTATTGCGCTTCCTCGACACTGCCTGATGGTGGAGCAACACTGCTTCATACATCCACAGCGACACACAGATACCCCCAACTGCTCTGTTTTATCAGTTTAATGTGGCCAGAAGAGACAGTTTTTAAATTCAAGCATGAAAAGTTAGAATTAGCCACTATTTTTCTACATTTTCTCACAAAAGCCTGAAAAATGAGATCGCCAAATTTAATCCAAGACACTTTTTTTATTCAAGTCTTGAGTGAGTTGACTTGATTTCAACCGCATAGGTGGGAAAACATGTTCCCACAGTAACTTCAGAATAGTCTGCCAGTGCACGGTGACAAACAGCCAAGTCATGAATTGCTAGCGGTGTATCACTCACCTCCTTTTGTCTTTGGTGGGTGTGTGTTTTTGCCTGACTGTGAACCAAATGAAACGGGAAATAAATATTTGATTGTCATCCCGCTTAACAAGCTCTTTGTTTTAATATGTTCTAACAACCACTGCTTTTTAGGTGAAATGCTCGTGAACGTATTCAAAGGACGTTTTCAAAGATGTTTGATTCTGAGGAAAAATGCATCCCTGTGATAATTATTAATTCCCCAGCGTTCTTGTCTTTCGTGGCAGATTCTCCCACATCAAGCTCTTTTTATGCCGACCAGTGGGTGTCAAGTGATAAAGTGCCGAGAGACGGCCTAAAGATCTTAGTGTTTTCTTTACCTCCACCCCCACACGTGCAGAAATCCCCCTGCCTTTCAGTGGGGAGTCTAATTAGCTGTGAGGTGCTAAAAGTTGCAGAGCTTATCGGAAGCTGACTAAAGAGGACAGATAAGGAGCTGCAATTAACTTGGCTCATCTTCCTCTGTCCCACCTCATCGTATATTTCTGTCATCGGCTTGAGCTGCCCCACATGTGTCTCTAAATATATACATATTTTTTAGCGCAGGGACAGGATAGGTTACTGAATCAGTCACATAATGGAGACAAAAAAAGACGTTTTAAAAGAGATTTGAATACACTTGCTGTTTTGCAGAACTGGTTGTAGTCAAACAACGTAATACTTTCTGGCACAGCACACTTAGAGAGGCTGCATGGTTCTGTTAGTTATTCATCAGTTTGGTGGTAATAACATAGATCCGTTAAATGCCATTGATGACAAAAACCCAAAACGACAACTATGGAAGCCCTTAGGACAAAGTGATAATAAACTCAGCAATATTTGTTAAGGGAATAGTTTTGGCAAGTAAATGTATTCGCTTTTAATCTCATGTTTGTTTGAAACAATATTCAGCAGTTAGCTCATCTCAGCTTAGTTAAATTGAGGAAGAAGCTCGCCTGATTCTCCAGGCAAGAGGTCCAAATATCCACAAAGGACCTCTTAAATCATTAGTTAACGTCATGTATACATATATTTTGTTTTGTTTGTTTGTTTAATCTGCTCAAGAACCAAAATATATATGTGGGTAAAAAACAGGAAATATAAATCACACTAAGAATAAAAAATGTGTGGGTTCTGCACTGGGTCAAGACCATAAAGACGGTAGTTTAGAAGTGAAGAAAACACAAAGTCAGGTGCTCTTCAAGGACAGGGCCAGCAGACAGCATCGGTCAACAGTCTGAAAAGTATCCGAGGCACTTCAATTTTAATTACATTTTAGATTAATTTATTATTACATATGTAAGTGTATTATAATTGAAATATAAATTAAATATGAACTACAAATTGTAGAACTTTTATGCTGGAGCAATAACTTCCTGATGAAGGTCTTTCCCTTTTTTCTTCACTTCGTCAACTGTCCAACTTCCTCATCCGTCCTCTGCTTCATTGACTGCTGCTGGTATCATCCTCGGGCGGGCGTCTTTGTTCTTGCTGGTCCTGGTAGGAATTTGTATCCAGGCCATAATATGCATATTCCTCATGTAAAGGTCAATTTTTCAGTAATCTCTGTAATTTAATTTTTGTTTCCTCGGCAGTCATTTTTTATTAGTTCAGTGGTTGGAGTACATGTAAAACTGTAACCACAGCGTTGTAAATGCCGTGGCAACTTTCCCTACTGTACAATGTGGCAACGCGGACGTGCATTAATTCATGTTCACCAGTAGTTTGCCACCAAAGTAGTGCTAAACTTCTGGTTACCTTCTGGGAAAAAAAAGGTTTTACATGTCAGTTTATGTTTGAAAGCATTCCTGACAGTTCATCGTTTTCCAGGTTTCTGACTAACAGTTGTAGTTAACCTTCAGCAATGTTGCTGCAAATTCGCAACAAGGTCAAATTTCCACATGCAAATTAGATTTGTGGTAAACGTGCAGAAGTCTTCTAGCAAATGTGGAAAACTTATGGCACGTTTTGCTGAAGGTTTGTTACAAAGTTTACTCTTTGCAGCAAACGTTATGTTTTAATACATTTTTAGAAGAAGTGGTTGCACTGGAGCCTCACAACAAGAACGTTCTGGGATCAAACCTGCTCGTCGCTGTTCTTCCTGAGCCTGACTGGGTTTCCTCCGGCTTCCTTCAACAGTCTAAAGACAATCATGGTAGGTAAATTGGTGATTCTAATTTGGCTATAGGTGTGCTAGTGTGAGTGGTTGTGTCTGTGTTGTGCCTGCAGCTCATCAGCGACCTTTCCAGGATGCGTCTCACCAGCATCAACTATGACAGACTCCAGCCTCCCTGGGACTCTCTGAAGAATGACGTGAGTATAATTGATATTTCTCAAAGAAATATTTATCAGAAATGCATAAAATATCAATTTGTGGCAAATTTATTGAGATTGGTAAACATTCTATCAAACCTGCAGCAAAACAAAAATTACAATAAAAGATGTTTTTTTTGTTATATCGTTTCTACAAAGTTAGCCAGAAGTCAACTGCAAGACATGAGCTTGCTGCAAATTTGCAGCACTGTTGCCAAAGGTTAAACTACAACTGTGTGAAAGTACCTTGCACACAGTTGTAGTTTAGTTGTAGTTTAACAGTTTAGTTGTAGTTTAACAGCAAGAACAGGACAAAGTTTGTTTCCCAAAATGTTGAGCTACTCAACTAATGGATTATGAACACACACACACACACATATATATATATATAATTTTATTGTTCTTTACAGTTGGTCATGCCTGGCTTTTAAAAAAAAAGACTTGACAGTCGTGGTTTCAATGAAAGAGCTTTTAAATCATTCCAGAGCTGTGTAGCAATCAGAAATGTTCATTTAGACTTTGGGAATTTGCAAAAGGTGTCCTGCAAGGCTTAATTCTGGAGCCTGTTCTATTTACTGTGTACACAGGTGATACAGGCTCCTCTATATCCTGCTGTAATATACATCTCTATGCCGGTGACACAATGTTGTACTGTGGTGCAAATAATGTACATTCTGTCGTAAAAGCCCTTCAGTGCTGTTTCCACTCAGTTACAAGTAACGCTCAGTAAGCATACATTAATTCTCAGCACAGATAAAACCAAATACATGATTTTCACCAGAGCTAAAAACATTGATTTTGACAGTCTTCATAGTTCACATATTAAAAAAGTTGCAAAGAACAAATATCTGGGAATTTGGACAGATGAGAAGCTAACTTTTACATGTCCAACCTGGTAACTGAACTATGTTTTTTATTTTTTTTAAGTGAGATATACACTGTGTTTTAATCATTTATAGGGCTCTTAGTGATATTTTCCTCTCTTACATGAGCTCACTGCTGTCTTTTAATGTGGGTCCTGACAGAACACGTTCAAGCGATTGGATTACACTCCATGTGCCAGTGGTTTTTTACTGAGCTTGGAAAATATAGTTATACTCAGTGTGTGCTCGCAACCTGGAATAACCTGCGAAACTCCTAATTTTTATGCTCGGTTTTTAATTTCATCACATTTTACTTCCAACTGTTCTTGTTTTAGTCGATTCATTTGTTTTCAAAACTTAAATGCTCGAATTGATGTTTTCATCATTACTGATTTTACACTTTAATTTTTTTTAAATATAGTTTTTACTTGTGCAACAGATGAGGCCTCTATTCCTGAATGTATTCCAAGTTTTTAAAAAATCCTTGAAAAATGTAACCACAAGCATTTGAAAGTAAAATGTTAATATTTAATAACCTTTAGTAAAGCTATTATAAAAGATAACATATTAGATAGTGGTATACAAAAACAGATATAATAGTGTGTTTGATAAATTAACATACTAAAATGTTGCTTTAAAAATTCTTCCAACCAAACACGACATGCTGGAACACAAGCTGCTCACATGCACAAAATAAACAGTTCATGTTACATATACAGTACTTCACCCTTTACATGCATTAGAAACCTCAACTCGGTGTTCTTTTAATCACTTTACAAATCATTCTCTGTCTTTTCCCAGAATGCTTTGAATGACCTCAAATTGTGCAACGTCTCAACTGCACAAAACACTTGGAACTCGTTGAGCTTTAGAAACAATTATCCAGAAAGTTCAAGAGATCTTTCACTGTAATTTGTCCTCCCGTGACCTCCCTCGTGTGTTATCACTCTCATTTTCCTAATTCCATCTCCAGCCCTCTTGCACCTGTACCCCCTCCCTCCATCGCCACTCATTTATCTTGTCGTTCCTGCTATCACTCCCTCACCCCTTCTTCCCCTATCCTGCCTTCCCTCTCCTCCTCCTCCTCCTCCTTCTACTTGTCTTCCTGATTTATAGGAGGCGGTGTGCAGTTCACACACATTCCACTTCTGACACCCCCCTCCTCAGCCCACCACCCTCTTTCCTGCAACTGGACTCTCATATCTGTGCGCGGTCGTTTATCTTCGTGATCCTCCGATGGAGAGAAGAAGAAGAAGAAGAAGAGGGGAGGGTTGGAGAGATGAGACAATAGGAGGAGTGTTGTTTTTGTGGAGCAGGCCAGACTATCTCTTCATGTACCTCTTGATAGGACGAGTATGTTTTGCGTGAGTGTTGTTGTGCATATAGGTTGGCTGTGGGTCTCTATCTCCAGTGTCAAAGTTTCCAGGCATGGCGGCTCCTACATGAAAGGGCCCGTGGAGTCTTTATGGAGAACAAACGGCGCCCTGACGCAATTCTCCAGGTTTTTTTCGAACGCACACACACAAAACGACCCACAAACGCCGTGCGCGCTCGCTGGCTCGCTCGCTCCTTCACTCATGCAGACGCACCACATCCACAACCCGCAATCCACAAATCCCCATCCTTACACACCCCGTTGGCCAAGCCTAATTAGTTATGTGGTCGGCACTCTGCTCCATCCCAGAGCCCCAAATGGCAGCAGGTCATAAAACCTTAAGTGTTCCACCAGTCAAAGCTGTGCAACTGTGGCCATATATCCTCCCAACACGGCTCAGGCAGGGCTGACTTGTATCAAAGCCCATCTCTCACAGGCCTACTGACATCCATGAAATCTCTTTATGGCATTTTCAAAGGCATTTCTGAGAGATTTTTTGGCACTTCTGCTTTGCATCCCCTTTTTTTTTTTTTTTTTATG